TTCTGTGGTTAGCCTTCATGGAATTTGTGATGAAACCCTCGAGATAGCCATTTTCAAGGAGTTTTCCTCCCAGAGTTTTCAGCTCGCCTTCCATAGTATCAAAGCTGAAAATGTTGTGGATTCTGTGGCTTCTTATATGACGTTATTTGTTATCTAAAACTTACAATTCCAAAGATGTGTCTCTGTAAACATGCCGATAATTAAAACAAAACACGTAAATCAGCGAAGAGTCTCTTTTCAGCGAATTCATTTTCTTAGCTGTACTATCGCAAGTATATATGTGTTATTTTGTATGTATTTGTAGATTAAATTTGTCAAACAAAATTACAATTGGTTACGGTTATTTTAACTAAACAGGTGAAGACTGATAATTGGAGTTACGTAATAGAGCATCGGTCAAGAAAATTGGGCGTTAATGAATATAGGGTAGTAACAATGTGATGAGTTGTCACGAACAGCTTTTTAAAGAAAGTTATGTAATAACATGAATATAGGTTTCCAGGCCGTAGGTGTTACGAACTTCCTGGAACATTTTGAGCGCCAAGTCAGATTGATTCATTATAAATTATTTAAATTAATCCCAGCGTGTTAAGAAAATCAAAACAAACTTTTCTGAACGTTTCGCTGTGTAAGCCACAGCTTCTTCAGCAGATTTATTCGGATTTTTATTAATCATCAAATTATATAGTCAAACTTTTACATAAATTAAAGTCAGTTTATTTGAAGGTCATTCGTCTATGGCCATTTTTACCAATAGAAAATATGTAAGCAGTCATCACGTATATTTGTAATGACTAATGTCAAGTTGTTGTTGTGTCCACTCTTCTATAGTTAATTTGTAGAGATTAGTTTTGTATGAGTGTGTGTGTGTGTGTGTTTGTATGTTATTTGTCATATGGAAAATACGTGCATTCATATATGATAAACATGATGCTATATGTTTTATAAGGTCATGGAGGCTCATAGAGTGCTTATTGATGCATTGCTATAGCCGATCTTTTTTCTAGACTTTTAAGTTCTACTTCATTTCTAGGTGGACGTTTCGTGCATCGTCGATAGCCAGGATTTTTCAATTTTTGGTTTTCCCTTATGCTCCTTTCTATTGATAATATCATCAAGTAGCTTTTCAGGATAACCATTTCAAATCAAAATCTGTTTTATGTTGGATATCTCGTTCTCCATATCGTCATTATCGGTTATAATGTTTCTAGCTCTGTTAACGAGATTTAAAGCTACTGAAACTTTCATTCCTATTGGATGATCTGATTGAAAATTCAAATACTTGTTGGAATGTGTCGGCTTTCTGTATATGGTAAACTTTAGTTTCTCGTCAGTTTGTCTTTTTACAAGACAATCAAGAAAGTTTAGAGTTCCCTCAGCCGATTCTATTTCATTAGTAAACTAAATATATTCTGAGATTAAGTTGATTTCTGTTAGAAAGTTTTCTTTTTCGGCTTTCTTTATGATGATAAATGTGTCATCTACATACCTGTACCATATTCTAGGATGACAACTAAAACTTGTCAATGCTTTCTTTTCTAGGGCTTTCATTTGTAGGTTAGCTACAATTGGAAATGCTGGTGAGCTCATTGCAACTCCATTTGTTTGACAGTATAGTTTGTCTTTAAAGGTAAAATATGTAGATTCCAAACAAAGTTTTAAGCATTTTATAAATTCATCTATTGATAATAAAGATTTAATTAATACTTCTTGATTGTTTTCAAGTTCATATTTCATAATATCGAGTGAATCACAAATAGGAATACTAGTAAATAAAGAAACCACATCAAAACTTGCCATAATTTCGTCTTCTTCAACAATTATGTTCATTACTATCCTTTTAAATTCCTCAGTATTTTTGATGTTCGAAGGAATATTGTATTGAAGTGGTTTCAGTATTCTTGATATGTATTTTGATAAAGTATATGTTACTGAATTGGTAAAATCAATTATTGGTCTTAAAGGAACATCTATTTTATGTATTTTCGGCCTTCCATAAAATCTGGCGGCCGTGTTTGTCTGTTGAAGAAGCTGTGGCTGTGATCTTTGTTTTTTCCCTCACCATATCATGTAAAGAGAACATCATATTCAATATTTTTAATCATGCAAGGATTTGTATACCGCATCGACAATACTGTGTGAAACAAGCCGACGGCAATTTTCACTTGTATTATTATTATTATTATCATTACCTTAGCTGCTATCATTATTATTATTTCCATTTTATATGCTGCATGTTTTTTATTTTTTTTTCATATTAACCCTATTGTAAATGTAGAAAAATTTTCTATGTGATTAATTGATTTATAATTTGAGGAAATTAGATGCAATATTGTGATTAATGCTGAAAATTCCATTCTGTATCACAAGTACTGTTTTTGGAATAAAGTAAATCATTATTATTATTATTACACAGCGAAACGTTCAGAAATATCTTGTTTTGATTTTCTTAACACGCTTAGATTAATTTAAATAATTCATAATAACATGAATAGTCTGATGACTGAGTTTCACTCAGGATACACATAAGAACAAAGTAGAGAATGCGAACTTCCGTAAGAGTTCTAAATGAATGCAAGAATTTTAAGCAATTCAAAAATTATAAGCAATTCAAGAAACAGCCAAATAGACAAAATCAAGTCATCAAAAATCAACAAAGTTGTTACCACTACAGTAGAAGTGGTTGAGTAATTCTCTTTTGTATGCACAGTTCCGGTTTTTCTATATGATTGGCCAGAGCTTCAGCGATACAAAGAAGACGAAACCGTATTGCCTTTGATAGGTTGTTCTTGACTCTGTAGATTACTTTGAAACAGGAGGCGTTTGTTGAGATGGAATGATCAGTGTTAATCAGGTGTTCAATTATCACACTCCTTATTGCACCACTATTGCCTTTTCGCAACCATGCTGGATAGTGTTCTTGAATCCTCTTGGACAGGGTGCGTGTCGAGCGACCGATGTACCTGGCTCTACAGCAGCAGGTGAACTGATATATTCACACAGAAGTGGGCAGATGCGGGATCTTGTCCTTGAGGCTTCTGCAGATCAGTGGGCGACTGGAGAACACTATTCTTAGCGTCACTGCAAAGAATGTTCTTCTCAAAGATGATGTGATCCTTCTCTTGAGAATATCGCTTGCTAAATCTCCCTTGAAATCCAAGTTCATGTAGACTTTCTGTTTGGGCGCAATTAGAGTTTCGTTTCTCCGAATTATTGGTTTGATATTTTTGTCGATGAATCTTATTGGGTGTCCATTTTGAATGAAAATTTCTCTTAGAATATCTAATTCTGTTTCCAGAGCGTCGGGAATAGAAATGCGTCGGATGCGGTTGGCAAGTGATTTAATTAAATCCCTCTTTTGTTGAATGGCTACCCAGCTATACAAGCTTGTTAGTTGACCATTCCAAGTAGCTTTTCTGTGGATCGATCTTCTTAGGCTCCGATAAGTTCTTCTTGTTAGTCCCACAAAAAAAAACGGAATTTTTGATTTGTTTTCTGTTTCAAGAGTGAATTTCATTGTTGGATGGCAACAGTTAAATGTCTTCAGCAGCAGATTGGGGTCATTGTTGTTGTCACAAATAATGAGTATGTCGTTCACGTATATTTTATACAGTCATAAATTGTCAATGCCCGGATTCAATGGAGCTTTCTCGAGGCTTGCCACGAAGCAGTCTGATAGTAGTGAACACGACGGTCTTTTTGTCTATAGATAGTGTCGTTGAAAGTGAACTGGATGTTCAGAGTGAATCTCAGTAGTAATTCCTTCAAATATGTTGTTGGTATTCCAATATTGAGGTGGCTGTCATCTATATATTTACATTTAATGCAGACCGTTTCCGTGAGTGTTACATTGGTGAAAAGTGACTCAATGTCGAAGAACAGCATAGTTTTCTTAAATGCATCCAGATCTTGTATGCAGTCGATGAATTGGAAGATGTCACGGAGCGAGTGGGTGCATAATTGTTTCCTTACAGGTTCCAGAATATCTAACATCCATTTTGATATTAAGTGGTAAGGGGAACGTGATATATCCAGAATTGGACGAAAAGGGATAACAATCTTGTGTGCCTTTGGTACACGATACAGTATTGGTATTATTGAACCTGTGTAGAGGACTGTCTAGAGCAAGTTCATTAACATAAATAATATGCGAATAAAAATCCAAGTCAATGAGAGCACAATTCAAAAATATATTATCAAAATGCAGTAATGAGATATATTAATTGATAGGTAACATAGATATGTTGTTAAAGTCCACTGCTACAAATTATTAGTATAATCCACAGAAGCGTTCACTGTTGGAATCGTGTCTACGGGTAAAAGCTGTGTGCGGGTTGTAGAGTTGTCCTTGGATAAGGATAATAGGTTCCTGTAATAAATCCAAAGTATACAACACGGCTTGAGTGGAGCAAGTAGACAGTAATGACCAGTGAGAAGCCGAAGCGACCAACAGTACACTGTATTTCAGATTGTATTCGGAGGTTATCTGTATTTAAACATGAATCGTTTTAAACAAAATTCATGTACATGTACACCGTCTCTAATTTCAACATCTAACCAAAAAGTGTGCAATCATATGGTTACGTACTCCACACGTCTCCCCCTCCCCCTAGAGGTCCGGAGAGACTACCGGAGACTTTCACTTTTAGTGAAGTAAATAATAATAGTAGTAATAACCATTTTTAGGATAATGATAAGGATACATAATAACACCCATGTACGCGCAAAGGCATTTGGATCGTTTAAAGTTTGAATGCATTTACAAATAGTTCAAGAACAAAAGTTGAAGTTAAAAGTTCATGTCAATTAAATGTGGTTGGTTTCTCGTTGGACAAATCATAAACAAAGATTTTCAATGTATAAACAATGATATCTATGCATACAGTCATTAATGTGGGGAAAGAAAAAAATACATTGAAAATATCATTATGCACAGAACTCTCCATGTCTTTAGTCAGACCAAATGCGTGACCATCAATGTTTTCCTGATTCTGCATTTGTCAAATCGACGCCCTTTTTAAGAGATTTCCACCAAGACCACTGCAAGTTAACTGTTCCGCGCTTTTGCAAATATTTTCCAAACAACTTCCTACGTCTTCTTTCAGTTCGCCATGATTATGTGAAGTAGTATGCATCATAACCTTCAAATGATTTGCAGACAACGTATTTGAGTTATGTGCCATACAAACATCATCCAAGATACTTTGTTGTGTAGTGAATAGAGAAGATTTCATTTCTTCAACTTTGATTTGATTGGATCTTGAAAATTCTGTCAATCGAGATAAGCGTAACGACAGTTGTTCTGAAATTGAATTCTTCATTGATTCGAGTTCATCGAGCAGATTATTATGTTTCATTTGTACTAAGCGAACCGGAACATGATAAAGAAATATAGAATCAAATATACTGCAGTGAAATGCGACATAACTTGAAATGGTCTTCGTGGAGAATCTCCTAAATAAGGCGGCGATTTGGCAAATGCAGAATCAGGAAAACATTGATGGTCACGCATTTGGTCTCACTAAAGACATGGGGAGTTCTGTGCATAACGATATTTTCAATCTATTTTTTTCTTTCCCCACTTTAATGACTGTATGCATAGATATCATTGTTTATACATTAAAAATCTTTGTTTATGATTTGTCCAACGAGAAACTGACCTCATTTAATTGACATGAACTTTTACTTACTGCGTACATGGATGTTATAATGTATGCTTATTTTTTATTCTAAAAAATGGTCATTAGAGTATACTATTGGTAGCTTCACCTAATCTCTGTCCATTTCTGATCACTCAACCCAATGAAACCGTGTAGTATACTTTGGATTTATTACAGGTACCTTTTATCCTTATCCAAGGACAACTCTACAACCCGCACACAGCTTCTACCCGTAGACACGATTCCAACAGTGAACGCTTCTGTGGATTATATTAATAATTTGTAGCAGTGGACTTTAACAGTATATCCAAGTAACATTTTAACTGAAATAAGTCATTACTGTATTTTCGACAACATATTGTTACGCTATCATCTCATTGACTTGGATATTTATTCGCATGCTTGTTATGTTATTGAGCTCGCCAGACAGTCCCCTACAAATTAATTGGTGAACCCGATTGAATATCTTAGCTTTGTAATCTCTATGTTTATATTGTTATCATTTTTACTTCTGAGTACACATTCTATATATTTTTTATATCATTGTAACTATATATTCACATAATACTCATGTCTTCACCCACCCGTTCACTTGCTGCACCTGAGATTGACGAGGCACAGGACTCAACAATCAACGCAATAGTCGACCTGCGTCTACCTCCATTTGGTTTCACTGAGCCACGGATTTGGTTCGCCATCATTGAGCCCCTTTTTGCTACCCGAGGTATTAAGTCACAGATCGCAAAGTATGGATGTGTCTTAGCTGCACTGCCCACAGAGGTTCTCGAGGACATTAGTGATTTAATCGACAGCACTCCTGCAGACCAACAATATGACAGACTCAAAGCAGTTTTGATCCAAAGAAGGAGTGTGTCTGATGAGAAGCGGATCCAGCAGTCACTCACTGCATGCGATTTAGGCTCACGGACTCCATCTGAAATTCTCAAGCATTTGCTTCAACTGCTTAACCCACAATAGTTTGACGAAGTGGTTTTACGGCAGATGTGGTTGCAACGGTTTCCACGGCGTATCCAACATATTTTGACTATCTCCTCCAAATCCGTTGACCTAGATGCACTAAGTGAGCTTGCAGACAGAATTCTAGATGTTATGCCTGACACCAGCATACACAACGTATCAACAAGTCATGGGTTACCAGTTCAAGGGGCGTCTGGTGAGGACACACCTATATTATCAGCGATTTCGACATTGGCAAATAAGATGGAAAAGCTAGAAACTGAAATTTCAAGCTTACGTGCACGAGGTAGTAGATCACCGTCCAGGTCAAAGCAACGTCAACGGACTTTCTCAAGACACCGGACCACAACATCTCATACTCAAAATATTTTCTGGTATCATAGAAAGTTTGGGAACCGAGCTATTCGGTGTTTAAAACTATGTGCTGTCAGTAGTAGCGACTTGGCTCATGGAAACGCCCCAGCCAGACCATGATGGCGACGGATGTTACTAGCAGTCATTCAAGTCGCCTTTTCTACGTGAGGGAAAAAACTACAGACACATTATTCCCGGTAGATACAGGAGCCGAAGTTAGTGTAATAGCTCCTTCACTATCCAGGCGGCCTTCCTGCACAGCTGGAAACTTTCACTTCGAGCAGCTAACCAAACTAGCATACGGACTTACGCTGAACAATCACTTATTTTGGATCTCGGTTTACGTTGTCGATTTGCATGGATCCATTTATAACATTTGCATCGAAAAGACAGATGATTGCATGTTTTCTGCATTACTGCAACGTTTCTCTGAAATTCTAAAGCCATCTTACAATGTCGAAGATGTCCCTCGTTCTGTCACGCATAAAATCGTCACAACTGGTCAACTCGTCAGAGCACGTCCTCGTCGACTACCACCCGATAAGTTGGCAGCAGTCAAAAAGCTGAATTCGAATACATGCTGCAATTGTGCATCATTCGGCCATCCAGCAGTCCCTGGTCCTCATTTTTACATGTGGTACCGAAGACTGAGCATGACTGGCGACCGTGTGGGGATTACCGACTCTTGAATAACGCTACTGTCCCAGATCGTTATCCCATTCCCCACTTGCATGATTTCGCTCTGACACTGTAGCGTAAGACTGTTTTCTCCAAAGTGGATTTAGTCAGAGCTTATCACCAGATACCAGTCGCTCCTGAGGACATTGAGAAGACAGCCATTATAACATTTTTTGGCTTGTTTGAATTCCTACGAATGCCATTCGGGCTGGAAGACGCTGCACAGTCTTTTCAGCGCTTCACGGACCAAGTCACTCTAGGTCTTGATTTTGTGCTCGTTTATATCGATGATATACTAATTGCTAGCAAGTCTGAAGAGGAACACAAGGATCACCTTAGCAACTTGTTTCAGCATTTCGAACAATACGGTGTCGCTAGAAACCCTACGAAGTGCATTTTCGGTGCCTCTTCTATTCAATTCCTGGGACATTATATAACCGCGGATGGAATCAGGCCTACTGAGGAAAAGATAAATACAACCAAAAACTTCCCTCAACCAGACTCATTGAAGAAAGTCCGACAATTTTTGGGGATGTTTAATTTCTATCGACGTCTTATTCCTTTGTGTGTCTCCATCGTCCTACCTTTAACTGATCTGCTTAAAAGTGATCCTAAAAAGCTTCAGTGGTCAGCGCATCCACATGAATCTTTCTGTAACGCTGAAGATGCTTCTCTAAAGTCGCCATGCTGTCTCACATGAACCACGTAGTATCTCTTATCCTGTGCTCAGATGCCTCTCAAGTAGCTGTGGGGCAGTAATACAACAGAAGATGAATCGTGAAGTCTCCCCACCCGCCTTCTTTTCTAAGAAGTTAGAACCGAGTCAGACACGTTACAGCACTTTTGGTAGAGAATTGTTGGCTATCTACCTAGCAGTCAAGCATTTCAGTTACTTACCACAGGGTCGGCATTTCACTGTTTTTACTGACCACAAGCCTCTTTGCTATGCTTTCACTACTTCACTGAATAAACACTATCCCAGAGAAGCCAGACAGTTGGACTGTATCTCCCAATTTTCAACTGACATACAGTACATCAAAGGTGACGAAAATGTGGTAGCTCATTCTCTTTCAAGAGGTGACATAAACCAGCTCGAAACTTCTGTCGATATCAGCCTCGACCGTATGGCTCAGTTCCAAAGAGACGAAGCTGAACACCCAACTTGTCGCGGAAACTCTTCCTTACAGTTCAGGGACGTACCTATTGCTTTATCAGACGATGTATCTACCTGTGTGGTGAGAGCTGTCTACTAGCCAAATTGGTAGACAGTAATTTACGTCAATATTTACGTTCCCAAGATTTGTCGTGAGAAAATGTGAACAAAGATTGATTCAAAACCGACGACAGCAGACTTTGCGTAGGCGGATGCAGTTAACATATAGAGGATTTGACATTCAAGAAACAGTCACAAATAGATGAAAGATTAACTTTACGTGAGAAACAACCAATTGGAAGACTGTTGGTTTGCTTAAATATCCATAGTAATGTACATGAAAATATATAAATATGCGTTGATTTCCTTAATAAATGATCTGTTGCCTGACCCAGGCCTTCTGTTGTTACACCTTTGTTAATCGTCTGTTGGTTTTTCTGAGATTGAAAGAAGCGTTGTTTGAACACTCACATTCGCTTTGTCATCCTGGAGTACGTGCTACGGTCAAACTTATCAGCGAACGTTTCGTGTGGCCTAAAATGAACTTTGACATTCGGAGATGGGCACGGGAATGTCTCCAATGCCAATGCTAAAAGGTACATCGCCACACTGTAACAACACCGAAGACGTTTGATTTACCGGATAAAAGATTTCAACATGTTCATATGGACATAGTAGGACCATTACCAACATCAAGAGGATATACACGTATCCTGACAGCCATCGATAGATTTACTCGATGGGCTATCGCATGCCCCCTAAACGATATATCTGCAGAAAATGTTGCGTTGGTTTTTCTCGACCGTCGGGTGTCAAATTACAGAGTACCAACAAATATCACATCCGACCGAGGCGCTCAATTCCAATAGACGCTGTTTCGTAAAGTAAAGAGACTCCTTGGAGCGAAACATATCTCCACAACAGCTTATCATCCGGTAGCGAATGGTCTTGTGGAAAGAATCCATAGACAACTGAAAAGCTCCCAGATGGCACATAATGATACATCTAAGTGGAGTGAATACTTAGCTTTGATTTTACTCGGTATCCGATCTACTATCAAGGAAGATTTAGGATGTACACCAGCTCAACTTGTTTATGGCACCAACCTAACTTTGCCTAGACAGTTGGTTTTCTCAGCTGATTCGACAGATGTGAATATTGCTGACTTCACCAGCCGACTAACTAGACAAATGCTCCAACTTCAACCGACAGCATCTGGACAATCTCTCCGATGAGATCAGATCAACAGACGCCTGGAAACTTGCACATTCGTCTTTGTTCGAGTCGACGCCATCAGAAAAGGATTGCAACCCCCATACGAAGGTCCCTTAAAAGTCATTGAATGTTCAGACAAACACTTCACACTGAAAAATAATTGAAAACGGGAGAATATTTCCATTGATCGAATCAAACCAGCATACACAGACAGCGACTTTGAAGCTAAATCGACAACCGCACAACTAAATAATCCGATAGTTGATTCCACTTCAACGGCACCAATTCTTATCCACTACCCATATCAAACACGTAGTGG